AAAAAAATAAGTCAATCGTAAAATAGAAACATGCCTTTTCTGCTCGTACCTGGTCATTCCCAGTTCCGGCATACTTTCAGCAACATGTCGATCATACTCTTCTTGTTTGGAATATGGTTGTCGTATGCTTGGTTGAGGTGTTTGTGATTGATACATTAATGGAGCATCAAATTCCATTGATCTGAAGAAAATTGACTTGCACTGCTATAGCGGTAAAGGTATACGGACTTGCAAGTAACTCAGGCGAAAGCAAATTCTTATAACTCACCTTCCTATATTTGTGACATTCGTTCGTGAGCTGCGCTGAAGGCTGTAGTGATCCTGGGCATCTTTGGCAGCTGAGAAAGAGAAGTAGGTTGAGACCATTGCCACGAGGAATGAGAGGAAATGGAAGAAGGCGGCAGCCATTTGCAAGAAGAAGGCGAGTCCAACCCGTTGCTGAAAAGCAGAATTGTGAAAATCGCGCCAAAGTCTGTAGACAAACTTTAATTATAAATTGTGAGCGAAAGTTAATGACGTCATTTACCTACCTCATAAGTACCAACGATACCCTTGATGAAGCGATTATCAGCACGATGGGAATAGAAGAAAAAGATGCCCTCAGCCACAGCAGAAAGTAATGCTGAAAAATAATCCTTTCTTGATTGAACATTTAAAAAAGGCCGTTTTCCCTTACTTGTCAGAAGAGTAAGGGCTGTAAAAACGAGAGTAAGAGAGCCATAGCAGCATGAGCACATTCCAAGGCATATCGACAAAAACGAAGTCAGTAGGGCCAATCCCAAAAGGATTAATGTGGCTGTATGCCAACCTGAAATTTGTTAAATTTAAAACACTATAAATTCCAATTGGATGAGATTACGGTAGTAATTTCTCTTTGAATTACTTGTTATCAGGGTGTCTTGAAACTTTCGTTGAAGAATAAGGTGTGTTTCATTACTCACTCAACTTTTTGTACACATGACCTTTCTGTTGTCAAAGAAAGAAGTTGAGGTTTTTCAAAGCTCGTCAATGTACATACATATGAGTCACGAACGAACTCAACTTTTGTGAACTCTAAGCTGAATCATTCGATGCGAGGTTACGGCAGAAAAGAGTATATAAGTAATCACTATTGTAAAGATAAAAGTATATGTCGAGTTGCAGCTCTTATCTCTGAAATCCTTCACTTATCCATTCATTTACCATAATGTCACGTTTTTCACTCATTATTTCATTCATTAATCTATTCATTTTCATTCGCCCATTAGCCCTTTAATTCATCCACCCATTTTACATTTATTCAAATATTTATATTTATTTTCTACTTGGTCACTCATCCTCTCCACAAAACTCTATTTACTTATTTTGAAGAGCGAAATAGGAACGTAGTAAAACAGTATCGGTTCGCTCAGGTTTTACGTGATGACTCAGCTAGGATTAGCACAGAATGTGCGTTACTCATCACCTTCAAAACCGGATTCTTCTCTTGTCGCTGCATCAGCGCTACTTACGAGTAGACATGATGTGCAAGACTAGCTTTTGGTTAATGAATTATATAAAGATTATTAGCGATAGTGGCTGTTAATTAGATGAGGGTTTGGTTAGATGGGCGAGTGCTGCGTTTTCATTGAGAATTGAAGAAAAATTGCTATTCTTCTTTACCAATACCTCAATACTTCAGGTAAATAACATTTTAAATAAATAGGAAAATTTGCAGGGAAGATTTTACAGATTATGCGAACTTATTTATAGTTTCCCCATCACTTTGGCATGTTTACTCTGATCCCAACAATAACAGGCAAGAAGAAAAACGGTTAATGCGACGAGTCACCTGACCACACTAACTGGATTCTTCTAAACGTACTGAACTTATTGTTTTTCACATATTCAATTACTGATATTCACGAATCGCTAAGTTTTTGATATATCGTGGTTACCAAAACTGCTCTGCATTCCAATTTTTCTGCAAGCACTTATTCTAAACTTCACAAGTGATTAATGGCCAAATTAGTGTGCGGCTATCAAACTGTATCGAGGATTTTGGAAGTTTGCACTTTCGAAACAACAACTATCTCTCACGAAAAGAAATGTAAGTAAAATACTTATAGGTAATGCTTTAGAGGATAC